GAATTCGTTTGAAATACACAGCTTTAAATGATTTTTTTTATTGTGGGATTTTGGGGAACAGTTAAGAAATAAAAGGGAATCATTGTGTTTAAACATAAGGTAGTTTGTGAATGTATTTTTTAAAATCTAGATTCATTGAAACAAAAAAAATCATAAGAAAACATATTAATGCAGTCTTGTTTACAGTATGTACAGTGACATGACATAGAACATAACCCTCTTCTGGTGCCAACAAAAATAAAACAGATGTTAAACATCAAGCCATGCCTTTTATATTTTTGTACAAATACTTTACACTGAATATAAGGCAAAACCAAATTTAAAAGGGGCCCCCACAAATCTGTGCTCCTTAAAATACATTCATAGAATTCCTCAAAGCTATTGTCTTCAAAATAGATATTCCATCATTATGACCGGCCTCAACTCTGACATAGTGAGGCCTACATCAATGCAGCATATAACAGAATGATGTCCTTAGGTCTCGTTCACACAGTTCTAAACTTTTTAGTTTGTTTTCCTTTTTTTCTCCCTGAGATGTAGTGTCTTCATCTATTTTTTTTTAAGACATTAGTTTTTAATCTTCCTGTAAGGAGATCTTTGTCCCTAGAAATTAGCTCATTTTCTGTTTAAGTAGACCTGTCCATCCTTGCTGCACTTAAACTGCTAACTACGCGGCAACCCTGCTAAGCATGCCCACACCACACCTTTGGTCTGAGGTCTGGAAGGTGACCTTGAACCTGGGTGCCGGTCAAGTATATTGTGGCTTGGATTCTTGCATCCAGTGGGTTATAGAGATGGATAAACTGTATAGTCCATCACACACCATATAAACAACTTGTGTTAATCTCCACAAAAAATCTGGTGCCTCTTCTTGGACAAAGTTCAGTATTTTTCTTGGAACCTTTTAAAATAGTTAAGAAGACCTAGAATTTTATGGGTTTTGTTTTGATTTGGGGTTTTTTATTCGACAGGGTAAATTAAGGTATGAAAAGTCTCACAAGGGCACTTGGACAGGGGTTCCGTTCTTCTAATAGTTTGGAATTGCTTTCTGAGATGCACTCCTAACAGAACTTGCATCATTTTTTAAAAGGTATCTTAACTCCTGGTTGTCACTACCTACTACTAACAGCTTTCTGTCTGCTCTTGTGATGTATTGATAATTGTGTCTCTGGTCCCTCCTGTGCAGTAGGTTAGAAAGACACATGACATTCAGGCTGGAGCCAGTTTGTTTTTGTCCATTGACAAACAAGGAAGGGCCGAAGTCTGACCTCACAGTCCACCAAGTTTTCCTTTAAATGCTATTGTGTGTACCAGTTTCTGTCACTGTATTCCTGAAACATGCAAGAGCTCTTTGTGTGCTGTCTTTGAAAGTCTGCTTGAACAGGAATCACTCATGTGCATGCTGATTGCTTTACAGTATAGATGTGCTACGTTATTTTTAAGGAAGAAGACATGGGCATAAGGATCAAACTTTAAGCTTAACTTGCTCGAGGGAACCACTAGAATATCTCCATGTTGAAAAATGACTCTGACCCTCCCTGTAATCTCCAAGCACTCAGGCCGGAATCTCTGCTATACTTTCTGTAAATTATTAGTGACCTTTTAGTTCATTACTCAAAAACTCTAAATCTCAGCAAATCAAACAACACACACAAACCAGCCAGTGATCTAAGAACTCGCTTCCCTTGAGACTACATAAGTATAAAATTTAAACCCCACAGTCTGAAATTCATTTTATTTATCTGTGGTATTTCTCATAAATGCTATTGTATTTTAGCTTGCCGTTATAGTGACATCAGGGATCCTAAAACAAGCTGTCCTTTCATGAGCCTCACATAGAGTGATATAAAATGATTTCTTTTCCAGAGCCCCAGCAAAGAAACAACCCCCTTGAGAATTTGTAAGTTCCAAAGTGATAATATGCACACTTTGCCAAATATTTTCTAGTTTTGTTTTTACTTCCATACCGTGTCATTGTTCTGGAAATTTTTCCACAGACAATTGTGATATCCAACAATTTGCATAACATTAAACAGTCTGAGGTCATAACTCTGTGCTTTCAACTTTATTCTGCATAAATGCCAGTCCAGGAAGGGCCAGACTACGTCAAAATGAAGATCTCTCCCAAAAGTTTTCAAAAAAAAGCTCCCTGGATAATATTTGAACTATTTTAAGTCAGATTGAAATCTTGGACCCTGTGTCCAGTCACCCTAAACATTTGGATGAAATCTTGAAAATAAAAATGTCCAGTTTGGGGGATGTCTGTGCTTTGCATTCACTCACTCCTTGCATGAGAGGGTTTGGTTCCGATGATTTTATTTTTTATCAGCAGCAAGTGCTTTGCAGAGTTGAGGATAAATAAATGCTGATGGGAAGACAGCGTTCATTCCCAGCCGCTTATTATTGATACTAGCAAACATCCATGCTTGAGTTGCTCCTTTCCGTAGCTTTTTCCTGGAGTGTTAAAAAAAAAAAAAGAGGAGTACATGTTGTGGTTTGTTTAAGGGACTTCAAGCATTTCCCTAAATCATAATTTCCCATCTTGGGTGACTGCAAGGTGGGGCGGTGGAGGAGGGCAAAGAAGATGACAGCCTGGGTGAATTTTAAAACTGCATGTTTTTTAAAAAAAGGTATTTTTTTACATTTCAGCTGTCTTACAATGTTAACAAAACTGTAGAGAGATGGTAAATGTATAATATTAGAAGGGAAAGGTATCAATTTTGCTTTGCCTATGATTGTTTACATTTTTTAACCTCTAATTTTCAACTGTTTTAAGGACAAAACTTTGTTCCAAGGACAAAACTTAATATGTTTTATTTTTAAAGAACACAATTACTGTAAGGCATATTTTTCCCATCTGAAACTTTTATTTTTGAGTATTCTTCTTCCTGCATCCATACAGCTCTTCAAAAAGGACTTTCTATAGATGTTCATGGTATAGTTAGGAAGGTTTTAATAAGTCCTAAGGCAAGATTTACTTATACCCATACCCTGAGATCTGTTACGTTATGTTATCAGAGTTGAAATATATCTGACAAAGTGTCAACAATAGCAGGTCTCATGCCAGTTCCTCATTACCCTTTCCAGACAATGATCCCTCCTTGCTCTTCCCCATTTGTTGTGCTTTAAAGCTCTTACATCATCCTAGAAAATCCCTGAATTTCCCTTCACTTGCTCCTCCACTGCTCGTGACTCACTGCTGTTTCTCACAATACCTTTTTTAGTGGTTGGTGATCCCAGTATTCATTTAGATAGTCCTACAAATATGCCAGTTCTGATCTCATCCAGTGAAACTTACCACCAATGACTATACAAGATCCGTAAGTGATGGTGGGCAGTTCTTCCCACTTGCTCAAGGTGTATCTTACCCATCTCTCCAAATAAAGGCCGCTGCCTCAGCCATATTCCCCTCCCTTTTACAGAACCAACGTTTACCACTCTGTTGGAGGATTTCAGTCATCCATGATGCTGTGTCCTGTCTCGCACCACTCCCTGACCTCCACTAACCCCTCTCACTTGTATTGATCTGCTTCACTTCCAAGAAAAACGGCCAGAAGGAATTGTGTGTACTCACTATCAAAATTTCTTTCTTGGCCTTTTGAGCCAGTCCATACCAGTCTTTCTTCCCCTCCAGGGTAGCTCTTGCTAAGGGTATCAACGACCACCTCGCTGTCCAGGGCAGTGGCCAGCTCTCTGACTTCATGCTGCTAATCAGTCATCTTTGATATAATCAGCAACCAGTTCTTGAAACATTTCCTCAGCCCTTGGACTTCCTTCTCGTGTCCTCTCACCTCTCAGGGTTCCTGGCACATCCTAGTGCTAGATAACCATTCTCTAGGTGATCTCTTCAGCCTTGGGGGCCATCTGTGCCACAACAAAGCCCACATCTTTGTCACAGGACACACCCCAACCTCCCTCCTGAATGCCAGGGCTACATGTCTTAGTGCCTATTCAGCATCATTTGGCTGTGTAGCATGTCCAAAACCCAAACTAATTTGTGTCTACCAACCAATGTACTCATTATGGTTCTCCCAATATTGGAAAAAAATGTCACCTCCACTCTTCCACACCGGAAAGTCACATTGTTACCTCTAATAATAACCTTTCCTATACCACATCCAATCCATTATTTATCTTTTTCTTTAACTTCTGACTACATCCATAATCTGATCTCTACCTGAGCCACTCTTTATGTTAAACGATGCTTTGCAGCCTTTCCGCGAAGTCCCCCTTTGTCTCCATGGCTCACTAAGAATGTTTTTTGTTTTGGACTTTTTTATTTTCGGCTTTTTGAGACAGGGTTTCCCTGTAGCCCCAGCTGGCCTGGAATTCACTATGTACACCAGGCTGGCCTCGAGCTCACAGAGACCCCCCCTGCCTCTGCCTCCCGAGTAGCCATTAAGCTGTTGAAATAATCTACACAGTCCTACCTTTTGCCCCTCCCCAACCACCATAACCCCTTCTCTGACCACATCTGCCCTTTCTCAGCTCACTTGGCACCTGCCACACAGGCCTCCTTGCTCCATCCTGAATACCCTTTTAAAGCATGTCCCTTCCTGTCACCCAGGCCAGAAACCTCTTCCTCCACTTGTCTGCATGGCTTGCTCCCTCTCTCCCTTTAGGTCCCGTACCCTTGTGATTTATATAAAGTCACCACCACCACCCAGACGTTTTCTGCTTTACTGCCATTCATAACTCTTTACCATCTATGTTGCTCATGGGTCTGCCTCTGAAGTGCTTTTAAGAGTACCTGGCAAGCAGTAGTCACTCAGTAAGTATTTGTTGGATGAATAAATGGATGGAAATAAACAAGAACTATTTTGGAAATAAAATGGCATAGAAATATGTGGTGGTTTTAATTTGAATACCAAAACAAAAGTTGTCTTCAAAGGCCATATAAATATATAACATGGCTTGCTTTCATGTAAAATAGAAAAAAACCCTGTAGATTTTCCCTCCTGAAAGACTATTTATGGGTAGGCAACACCTGGCTTTGACCCTGGCTATATTTTCTTGCTTCATGAACCATCTTCACAAACCAAGTTGCAGGATTAGAAGACAGGCTGTTGTATAGAGCCTCAAGAAAAGCAGAATTTCAGAACTCTTAGACTTATACAGGTAACGATCCCTTTAAGTTATTGTCATTGCAAAAAAAAATGCAGAGTTTTCAGATGTAGAGGGGGGAATCTTAATTTTGTTTCATGAAACATATTTAAAAATCACAACAGTAAAAGTATCCTCCTGCCAAATGTAGATTTAAAAAAAAAAAAAAAAGCCTAATAGCATCTGGGTCTTAACAATCTCCCAAGTGGCAATAGTTCTGAGGCCTCCCTGGGCAGCCTTTGACACCTGTATATTTTCAACTACACTGAATATTGTTGCATGAAGTTTCTTGTAGGATATTGACACATGCCTTCTGATGAATTTATTGTTCCACTGAGTCTTATAAAGGACACACCTTGTAGCTCAATTTGTTCAATCATGTATTTTCTGCTCCCTTAATAAAGAAGTATTTTAAAAAATAAAGACAGTAGATAGTGAATAATGTAGCCTGAAGCAGTCTAACAGTGAAAGAATGTTTTGTTCCTATGTTACTTTGTGTCTTCTCACAAATATGTTGAGATGAAGGATAGATAATGTATAATCTCAATAGTCAGGGTCAAGGTCTACATCTTTTCCAGGACCCAAGTTGTATTGGGGTCCCACAGTGCTTAGTTGCAGATACCTGAAGTCCTTTACAAAACAGTGGTTCCAGGTACAGATGGGGAATGTGAAACGGCTTCAGAGCATCCAAAGTGTGACAGTAATTGGGAACAAATCAGAAGCCATAGGCTTCAGTCGTTAAAATCTAATCAATGTTTTAAAAATAAGTTCTCAATGTGATTGATGTTTTTAAAAAAATCTTAGATTGTTAGCTTCCTGTAAAAAATTGCATCACACCAGCTTGGCTGTGTTTTCATTTTTCACAAAATAGCTCTGACCATGTTTTGTGGCAGTGTCAACTTGATACAGGGTTGACTCCCTTCAAAAAATAATTACCTTGGTTTCTAAAGTTCAAAGTTAACTTACCAAGTGAAGTCATAAGGACAGGATCAGTAGAATTGTGGTCTGACCAAATTTTTCAGCCTTTCACCCAAGACTGCATGATTTCAGGTCATTCTTTCCTTTTGGCCAGTTTAACAAAAGAGGGTCTCAGCACTAGAAGGCGTCACTGGAACAGAGAGAAACAGAATGGTCACTCAGAGCTGAAACCCTATGCACTAGCCCAGGCCAAAGTCACCTCTGGTGGAGGGAAAATGACCAAACAGAACAGCACAATGCATTATGTTGTCTACAGTACACTTAAAGACGTTTGGAGATGGTGATCTATCACATTGGAATTCAGACATATTTGAAGCCTGGTGCTGATAAAAGATGACTGGCCATTATTCAGTGTTCTAGCTTGGCAACATTAAATGTTGACAGCCTTTTTTTCCCAGTCTTTACAAGATTTTGCGTTGGATTGGGGGAGGATTCCGTTTTGATTTAGAAATTTCACTGACTCATGAAATTCAAAGGAACTTGGGAGCACTACTCTAGAGTAATTGTGAAGGGCCAGATGACTTCAGTACAGAAATACACTGTCCTTCTCAAAAGCTGGGGGGACAGATATAAAGAGGAGAAAAGCAACAGCATCCTCCCTCACTGGAACAAAGCAGGTACCACCAGCATCCATCACTTAGGCACATGTTGCTGGCCTCATCAAGGTAAGCGGTTATAACCTCAAGTGACATTCCAGAAACCTCTATAGGCACCAGTATCATCCAAGAATGGCCATGACACCACAAAACTCAGAAGCCATCAGTTCACCATATCCCAACTGCCGTGTCACACGAAGGCTGGTTCCCAACCTTCTCAAGTATAAAGAGTTCTTATCATCTATGTCTTAGAAATTGAAACACAAAAGTTCATGAACACTTTCAAGTGAAACTTCATTTTATAACCATGTTCATTTGGAAAGTAATCCTTCCATGTGGGTAACATCTACAGACAATGCCTCAGGGACATACTGAACAACTGAGTCCCTTCCTGTAGCTCCTACTGAGGATTTTAGGAACCCTCATTTGTGTCTTGGTTGTGTTTTATGACAAGGTTTTAATGTAGGTAATATGTTAATGGTCATTGGTTCAGTTCAGTCTAATAAAACTGCCTTAATCACTTTCATATATAAGAAGGCTCAAAAAAGATCTCAATTTTTTTTTGCCTGTTCATATTGCAATTGTATTTTTAAAAGTATTTAAGGTAGCTGTGCTCTGACAGCTCATGAGCTGCTAGAGCACAACCAGTAGGTTCTATGCACGTGATGGGAAGCAAAATAGCGGGTTATCATCAGCTGCCTGTGCTGCAGCCCCACTGGATGCTGAGGCAGAAGCAGCTGAGGGAGGTTATCCCTGCCCGAGCCCTAATGCCCAAGCCGTAGTCTCTTAGGAAGCAGAGATAAAGAAAACAAGGGACAGGAAACAAGCTCAGTGACAGAAAACAGAGTCCATTATCTGACAGAGGACTACACAAACATGTGGCCAAAAGACAATGGTGGTGGTGTGACTTCACCTGGGGAGACTTGAGCAAATGTCTGTTCTCCACACATAGGCACTAACAACAGACCATGTCTAGCTTAGTGCACAAGTGAGTTTATTGAGGTGTGTTCTGTGACACTATTTCTGGAGAGACGGGAACAAATGTGTATGGACCCCAGACAGGAAACCAACAGCAAAGTAAGGGCACCACCAAAGTGCAAGTTGGCAAACCAGTGAGTTTTGCTTGGTTTGCTTACAGGAGCACAAATGACTCAGAGACAGCTATAACTCAGAAGCCCACTCCTGCATGGGTGACAGCTCACAAAAATCAGGAAATCTGGAGTGCACTGCACAACTTGCAGGCAGAACGACAGGTCAGAGAGTGTCTCTAGGCAGGTCAGGTGTTCTGAGCCTCCTCCAGGCAACTTCCCTGGTCTCTGCCTCTTCGTTTGGCTGGTCTCTGCTTCCGGGCAGCTCAGCTGGTCTGAGCCTCTTGTAGGCAGCTTGCCTGGTCTGAGTGTGTCTCTCATCAATCCTCAAGGCTCATATATGCTGGGGGTAGGGTGGGGCTTAGTGACCTCGTCATTTTCAAGGACTTTTTGGAGTTACTGAGTTGTTCACCTCCCTTAATGAGCCTTCAAGATGGAAGGTTTTATCTCAGAGGAAATTACTACATAGCCATGTTGACTTAAAGGTACTTGCATCATCAATAAAACGCATTCCAACAGCACAGAAGCAGCATCCCTAGAGCTCCACGAATAATTTACAGTTTGGCAGCTTGGAGAGTTTTCCCTCCCTTGTAATTATTACAGCTTATATAATGTTAGAGGTGTCCTTGTTAATCTTGTAAGTTTGGGGAGCTTCCTGAGACTTGTAAGTTTTGTTACTTTGTAAGTTTCTGTATTAGTCAGAGCTCTCTAGAAGAACAGAACTGACAGATAAATAGATATATTAAATATATATCTATAAATAGATCTATTAAAAGAATTTATTAATCAGCTTACTTTGGAACTGTAACAACAGTGGAATCACACTCGAGAGACTGAGGACCTGGTAGTTGTTCTTCCTTGAGGCTGGGAGGGACCTCAGAGTTGGAGTAGTCCCACAGTGACTGTCTCACATTTGAGTGGCAGAGACTCCGATAATTGCTCAGTCCATAGGCCTGGGTGCCTCAGTAGTCCCAAAGTGGTGCTGAAAACCTGGAGAGCTCCTGAAGCCCACTGGTCCCCAGTCAACAAATAGAAGCCTGGAAACCCTGACTCCCATTGTCAGCAGGCATCAGCAGTGACTGCAACAGGATAAATCCATTCTGTGATGAGATGTCTGGTCAAAAACAGGCAAAAGGTGATAACCTTCCTTCTGCCATGCCCCTTTTTATCTGCGCTGCTACCAGAACACGCTGCCTTCATTTGGGGTGACTTTTTCCATATCAGTTAAGGCAATTGGGACAATTCTTCAAGAGCAGCTTCCTACTCCGGTGATTCTAATTTATGGCGTTACCATTAAAACCAACCATTAAAATTCACCCTTTGACACATAAGCACTTCACTTAAAAAAAAAAAAAGCTTCCATCCCTTGCCCCTGTCAAGTCTCGTGTTTATTTCATAATATAAAATACTATAGTTACATTATTTAATAAAAATGTAAATATTTAAATTAATGTAATAATTAAATTATTTATATTAAGTGACCCCAAATCCTTAAAAAATCCATATGCTTTAAAACTCTCAAGTCTCTTAACTATAAGCTCTTATAAATATAAAAAACAAATTCCATCCTTCCACCACATTACAG